TACTATAAGGTCATTATCTTTGCAGAAATACAGAAGGCGTTCACCTCGGCTATGCATGTCTCCATAACCATATTTTGCAATGGTGGGGCCCCCAGGTCTTTGCCGACCTTGGCATTCCATTCACCCATTATGACTTATATGTCTTGTACTTTGTCAATCTTACTTTGGAGGGCAACAATTGTAATTAGTTCATTTAAAAATACTAAAATATAGCAGTTGAAAAATCTATTTAATTTATGAGTACCTTCACGCCAGAAGAAAACCAACTTATTTATGTAATTTGCGTTCTGGCAATAGTATTACAAACGATAATAGCAGGTGAATAAAATGCTTTATCCCCTCACACACCTGGGAAGGAAGAATCCATAAATTTAAATATATTTACTTGATAAACGACTTCACATAGTACGTCACGTTATCAAGAAAAAGGCGATGCCCATTTCGTGCTGAGAAACTGTACATTATCCTTGCTTTAATATGTCCTCTCTCCTACACTTTGGTGGGGAATCTTGTAGATTAATGGGCAAGAATATAATATATCTCTCAGAATAAGAAAAGTTATTTCTTTAGGTAAGGTTTCCTTTAACGTAATATATTCTTTAAATTATTGATTTGCCTATTCATTAACCTTCATATTATGTATTGATACGGATCTATTCAGTTTTGCACCCAGGCTCTACATATTGTAATTGATACATTATCAGAAAATGAATTGTTAACAAAATAATAAGAACGTTGAGCTTTGGTAAATACGAACAATATTTTGTAAGTTTTATCAATCGTTTCAGGGAATATTTTGGAGGAAAACAAAAATCAAAATCAAAATGTCCCATAAAAAGGGTTCCTTCTCGAACGCCCTCATACTCGAAAAATGAAGAGAAATAGTTGAAAAGATTGGCCCAAACTTTATCCCAAATGTCCCTTATCTAAACCTATCTGTATATGCAATGGATATGAGTGTCTGTAAATTGAGTCAAGACTTTTCGTTTTGATAATACCAAGACTTTCAATTATTCTTTTATATTAGATAGCTTAGACAGATACCGAGATGTGATTGGTCCAGAGCTCGTCACGTGATATCAATTGCGAGGATCCAAATTGTTATATTTTCCTGGCCGGTCACTGTTCAGTGTTATATTTTACCGGCTGGTGAAATGAATATATTTTTAATCAATGCATGTCGCCCTCTTGAGGACTGTATGTCATCAACTACATACATTACACCATTATCGAGGGCCTTTTTATTTTTTCAATATTTTTTTTTCATGAATTTTTTTTTCCCCAAGAATTTTTTTTTTCCACATTTTTTTCCCCCCAAAAATGCTTTAAAATATAACCACTTGGGAAATATAACTCCCTTCAGCGGTCCAAGTAATGTTATATTACACCCCCTGCCAGTCAATAACTGTATAATATTACAATATTACGTGTTCCAAACAGTTCTTTCGCAATATGTAATCAAATTACCAGAACTAAATTTTGCTTTTAAGTATAAGTGTCATAGTTCTGTTTCAGCTCTTTTATATTTGTATGAGGGAAACATTTGTGGAATAAAGTTACCTTCTTTCAACCATTTATTTCAGAATCGACTGCAAAGATCTTTGTGACAAATCAATTCAACATTTTTGTTGCGGCTCTACAAGATGACCTAGACCTCACTCCTATATCATCCAGTGCACAACCCCGTTATATTACCTATGACTCAGTGGAGAAGAAGATCTACTGGAGTAACGCATATTACAAAAGAGTTTTTCGTGCTGATGAGGATGGTGGAAACAGGGAGTTGGTCACTTCTGAAAACGGCATTGGTATGGTGTAGAAAATTTCCCAAGATAAGCTTTGAACAGGCGCGGATCTAGGGGGGGGGGCGAGCGGGCCTTGCCCCCCCCCCCCCTAATCAAAAAAATAAGAGAGAAGGAAGGAAAGGGAGAGAAAAGAGGAGATACTGGCGTACTGATAGGGGAGGGGGGGGGGGGGGCTTGGGGGAAATCAAATTCAAACGTGGTTTATTTCTAATTCCACAACGGTGGATTACAAATAATGCTGAAATGACATAATTTCCGAGATTTTTCCTCACTTTTTAGTAGATTCCTACATGTCAGGGCCCGAGGTACGGCGGGGATCGGGAGCCCCGAGCCCCCCCCTACTTTTTTGAAAAAGTATATTAAAGAGAAATAAAATAGAATGAGAGCAAGAAAGAAAGAATAGTTAACTGCCAGTGTTAAAAAATAATGAGGCATCAAAATATGCTCATCTGACCGTGATTAATGCCTAAAACCCCTAAGCTTCCGGGGGCTCTGCCCCCTGGATTCCACCTAGCGCCCTACGGCGGGCCCTTGGATGCTGATCTGACGGTAATTGAATGCCTAAAAACCCTGATTTTTGGGGGCTCCGCCCCTGGACCCCACGCCAAATAGTGACCTGCCAGTGTCACAAAATAATAAAGTATACAAAAAAATGCTCATCTGACCTTAATTAATCGCCTAAAACCCCTGAGCTTCCGGGGCCGGCTCCGCCGCCTCGACCCAACCAGGGCCCTAAGACGGGCCCCTGATTCAGACAAGGATTAAGAGTATAGAGAACGAAACAACGCATCGTCTTCTTTCTCTAATAATTTAATGAAACGTCAAAGCTTCGCGCAGGAGGGGAGGGGGGGGGGGGACTGAATTCAGACAAGGATTAAGAATCGAGAACGGTACAACGATTCGTCTTCTTTTTCTCATAATCTTATGAAACGTTAAAACTTCCGCGCTTCGCACGGGAGGGGGGAACCTGAATTCAGACGAGGATTCAGAGGCGAGAGCGGTAATACGAATCTTTAATGATTTAATGAAACGTAAAAGCTTCCGCGCTTCGCGAGAGAGGGGGGGGGAACCTGAATCCAGACGAGGATTAGGAGTCGAGAACTGTACAGCCAATCGTCTTCTTTCTCTAATGATTTAATGAAAGTTAAAAGCTTTCGCGCTTCGCGCGAGAGGGGGGGGGGGGAACCTGAATTCAGACGAGGATTAAGAATCGAGAACGGTACAACGAATCGTCTTCTTTCTCTCATAATCTTATGAAACGTCAAAGCTTCCGCGCTTTGCGCGGAAAGCGGGAACCTGTATTCAGACGAGGATTCAGAGGCGAGAACGGTAATACGAATCTTTAATGATTTAATGAAACGTAAAAGCTTCCGCGCTTCGCGCGGGAGGGGGAGGGGGAGACTGAATTTAGACAAGGATTAAGAGTCGAGAACGGTACAACGAATCGTCTTCTTTCTCTAATGATTTAATGAATCGTAAAAGCTTCCACGCTTCGCGCGGAAGGGGAAAAACTGAATTCAGACGAGGATTAAGAGTCGACAACTGTACAACGAGTCGTCTTGTTTCTCTAATGATTTAATGAAACGTAAAAGCTGGGGGAGAATCTAAATTCAGACGAGGATTATTTTCGAAAACGGTACAACGAATCGTCTTCTTTCTCTAATGATTTAAGGAAATTTAAAAGCTTCCGCGCTTCGCACGGGAGGGGGGAACCTAAATTCAGACGAGGATTAAGAGTCGAGATCTCGACAACGAATCGTCTTCTTTCTCTAATAATTTAATTAATCGTAACATTTTCCGCGCTTCGCGCGGGAGGGGGAAAACTAAATTCAGACGAGAATTATTTTCGAGAACGGTACAACGAATCGTCTTTTTCTCTAATAATTTAATGATTCGTCAAAGCTTCCGCGTTTCGCGGAGGAGGGAGGGGGAAAATCGCCCCTCCCTGCACCGACCCCCCCCCCCCGCATTACGTCACTGTTGATCACCATTACGTACCAATATTTGGCTCGCATAATTTCAAATTTGGGCCCCCCCTAACAAATCCTGGATCCGCGCCTGGCTTTGAAATATGTTCAGATGTAAGGATAAATTTGCTCCCTAGCTATCCAGTGATTAAAACAAGTACAGAATCATAATAACGAATCTTAGTATATACGAATAAGTAGTATCCAGGAATCTGACACCATATGACACTGATATAGAGCTGGTGGCACAGCATAATTATTATTTTCTTTATGAGAGGGATATCAAACAACATTGAATGTGTTATGATATGTAATATATATCATGCAATCTTTGTTCGTTTGCTTATTACATGCTATTATCTTCTGTCTGTCTATTTCGAATCTATAAAAACAAAACAAAATGAGTATTGGAAGTAAACCAATCTTTAGGTGCCCCCCCCCGCATTTCAAGATGTTTAGCATTCATGGTTTCATTTAAATCTTAGTTCCAGTAATTGCAATGGCTGAATCATCACGCATTCTTTACATCACCTGCTCAAGATGTATAACAACTGTGGATATTGGACCAGGTAGCGCGTTACCAGGGAATGAGACAAACTTTGTAACCGGATTATCCCATAGACCCATATCTTTGGAGGTGGATGAGGAACAGGGGTAAGATTAATCACGTGATCATATTGATGGTTCGGTTGGAGGGGCGGGGTTTATAATTGACCAACCGAGACCCTATACTAAGTAGTACCCCTCATCTTCATACAAGTTAATTGCAAGTTTCCTGCTGTTTTGCGTTCACTGTTAACGTGATTTACCAAATTCACGATGATAATGATAATGGTGATGATGATGATGATAATAATGATTACAAAAATAATTAATAATGATGATGATAATAGTAATACAGATAATAATAATGATAATAACCATACAAATAATAATAATGACAACAATACTAAACCCAGCAAGTACAGTGAACTGCGAAGCTTATTCTCTTTATATTCGATTTTCATACTGATACTTTAGAGGCCATTTTTTGGCGCAAGTGCAATACTTGACATTCTTACTTTAGGGAGTTCACACCAGGTTACCTCAAACGATGATGCAGGAAATGTTTCATTTCTATCAATGGGTACCCATATATGTTGGTGAATGGATAACGTCATGAAAATTTCTGATTTTCTTCATGTTGATATGAATCTTCGGGACAATCTTGATTTTTCAGATTCTTGTATTGGTCAATGAACGACAAGATCCTACGCAAACCTCTCAACGGATCTAGAAGCACAGAGACTGTATACTCTAACTCCGATCTATCCGCAATCACCGGATTGAGCATTGATCTCAGCCGTACGTATTTCGTATTTAAAAGGGTTTAGTAAAATGACATGTCATTATTTTCATGAAAGAATGATAAATGATAAATGGAGAAACCAAGAGGTGTTTTTAGGGAAGGCACATGGAGGGGCGTCAATCCGTTTTATATTTTTTGGGGGACACTGAAATCTAAGTGTCCAAGTAGAGCATAGCGAGCGGAGTGAGCGGAGCGTTATACGGGGTCCATGCAGGTGCGGCGGAGCGTCGTTCAAAGTGGGGGGGGGGGGGGCACCAACACAACAGTGCACTTTCTCGGGGAAAAAAAGGGGGGCCTACAAAGGGAAATCTCAAAGCGAAATATACCATTTTAGACATTGTGATTAAATTATTAGGGATGATTTTAATGTTTGTTTCTCTCTTTACTTGGTCCAAGATACTGCTTTAAGCATCATACTTTTGCAGTTAGGTGTGATTTGTGAGCGAGCACAACCTAATCATTAAAGGCTTAAATTATCTCTTATAAGAAACATAATAATATTAATTTTAAAATGCGAGCGAGCTTTGGGTGAAATTAAGGGAAAAGTTGCTACTAGTTGATTTAAAATAGGAGCAAGTATTATGTTGACGGGGGCACATATCTAGAGGGAAAAGGACACTTATGAGAAAAGAAAAAGGGCACATGTCAAAGTTAAAAAGGGAATTGTCAGAGGTGAAAATGGGGCACTTCTCGCACCTGAAAAGGGGCACTCACCTGAGATGACGAGCAGAAACGTAGCCAGAGTTTGATGTTTGAGGTAAAACAAAAAAAAAGGAGTCTAAAAAAGTTCAACCGATCTTGGAATTTTAGGGGTGGGCACGTGCCCCCCTCATCGTGCCCCCCCCCACCCCGTGGCTTCGCGCCTGATGAAGAGAGGAACGTGTGAGAATGGAAAGGGGGCACTTATTACAAAGGAAAATGGGCATTTGTCGAAGGAAAAGGGGCAGCTATATGTAATGATACCTCATATTATCTACATTGAAAAGCGTTAAATCAACGGTTTGAATAGTCGCGGTAAGACAGATGAGATAATGAGACATTTAGAAATATGCATGTTTCCATGTTTTTCTTAGTGTTGATTTAACAGTACAGTTGTAAGCAATGTGCTATCAAAAAGGAAAAAAAAACTTTAAATTGTATGAAAAATGAATTCAATATTAAGTGAAATGTTCATTGCATAATATGCCACGTAAACCAAACACATGCATTATATTCAAGTTGTACGTAATCTTGTCTTGTCTTATCAGACTTTGATTTTTAATCCATCTTGATTGTTGTCAGGGTTTAGTTATGAAATTTTATTTAGTTAAAGATTAAATTCATGAGATTAATATTTTTTCTTATTTCCTTGTAAGAATGGTCAATTGCTATATTTTTGTTTTTGTTTTTGTTTTTTTTGGCAGGAGATCCCCGACGCATATTTTTCTGCGACTATGGTACGGGACGAACTTTCTACAAGGACGTAAACCAAAATATCACAATGGCTCACGAGCTCACAGACTACATGAATGACCCTGACATCAATGACGATGAAGAGCGAAAATACCGAAAATACCGAGATATAAGCTACTTCAGTGGCGCCCTCTACTGGACGAGGGAAGGGAGTCACAAAGGCATCGCTGTCATGACTAATTACGATCAAAGCAGTCCATCATTCAACATAAAGGAAAGCAGTCAATTTACACCCCGTGATCCCTATCAATTGGTCATCATTAATGTAGATCCATGACCAATATTTAACAAAAATGAGTTCGGTTGTCTACTGTTTATTTGATTCAGCGTTGTCAACATTGTCATATCAGATATGACATGGTAACCCCCAGTGTCACAATTGTAAGGGGGGGGGGGGGTATTCAGATTTGGTTTGGACGGGGGGGGGGGGGGGGGTACCGCTGAAGCCTTGAAACCCCTACCAATTTTTGAGGGTCATTTGGGTTTTTTCTCGAAATATGGGATGTTTCTAACAATTTTCGGGTGTTTGCAAATTGGAAATTTGGGAAATTTTGAAAACACGGACCCATTTTTGGTGGTATTTTTTTGTTGAAAATGGAACCCATGTCTAGGGATTTTGGGTGAAAATATGACTCATTAGAGCGGCACACCCCCGTATTTCTTAATATGTGAGTACCCCCCCCCCCCCGGAAAAAACCACCGCAAAAAAAAAAAAAAAAAAAAAATCGTGGCGTTTCTTTTCCCATTTTGTGTGCAGTGTGTGTATGTGTGTAATATGAAACGTATAATTACACTTCATCATTACTTCATCATAAAAAACCGCCGTGGTTTGCTATGTAATATCTGAACGAGGTTTTAAGAGACAAGGGGGGGGGGGGAGGGCCTCGGGTCAACTACACAAATTAAAGAAAAAATATGCTTTAAATGCTACTGGTAAAATATTCGATTTCGGAATTTTAAAATCTCCCGCTCTTCGCCACTTTGGATATGCCGGCATTGCCCTGTTGTATCTACACATTATTGAGAGTCACATTTCGACTTATATTGCAGGCTGTATTTTCTAGAATGTAGGCTATAATGCTGAAGTTGTCGAGGTTGTTTCAGAGGAACAATGAAAAATAACCACGTTCTACCTTGGTAATGTTATGTTTTGTTGAAATATGACTTTTAGTAATATTGATATGCTCCTATTATATTCTGTTTTGTTCATCAATATCTAATTTTAAGGAACTCTTATATACCTCGAGATACGAGCCCTAATAGTCAGACGTTGTTAGTGTAGTATGGTGGAATACACTGGGATTAAAGATGAGTGTGAACATGCTGAGACGTGCTTGAACTTGAAGGATTATGAGTCCTAGGGGATAGTTGATTGATAAATAAATGGCTTTGAGATAGACTATGTAGTTGAAGGGACAAGGGAAAAAGAGAAGAGCGATAGGTCGAGTGGGGTTAAGAACGATAAAAATACCTTGGACAACAGATTTGTTTTTGATAGTATTTAGTTATGTGTTTGTTAAAATGGTGAATGATAACAGAGTCGTTGTATTGGTAGTTAATTGATACTCTAGAGCCTGAGCTGTCACTGGTATCTCGAGAATATTCCAACGAGTGAATCCAGCATACCCACGCTGAATAGTATAAGGACTGCCCCTCCATTTGACCAATCAGAAAGTAAAAACAGTTAAAAAGTTTGTTAAAGTTTTGGGTTAGAAAGTTTTGACCAATGAAATAAGTTTTTGCCCTGTCCATTAAGAAGTCGACAGTGGTGGAGATCAAGTGACCAAAAAGTATTATGGGATGGAAAAACAAAGGAAATTAATAAGGAATTTGTTGGACTCGAGGTGCGAGCTAGAAAGCTGGACGGTTTGCTAATTGAGTATAAAAAGACCCAATCCTCCCTTCCCTTAAAGGTAATACAAAGTTTGGGTATGGGGTCATGAATTTGGTTCAAATGAACATATTGGAAGCATGTGCGATCCTACAATATTCAGTGATTGTTATCGCGGTTGAAATTGAGTCTAAACTTATGAAATTGTAAATAATAAACTCTTTATGTTGTATAGCTCCCTCTCAAGGTCAAGATATTAATTAAGCTATAAAACAATGTTTCTTGGCTAAAATCGACCGATTAGCTATTCCCGTTTGGAAATGATATATCACAACTACATTTTCTGAGATTTTCATGGTCGCACCTACCATTGTACGGCCATAGGCGCTATTTGAAATTTATCAAAATTTACCGGGAGCACCGGTAAATTTTTATATTCCATTTTTCTCGAAAGCAGAAGTGTTTTAGGGGCTAAATTTTCTAGTGTTTATAATACATCCACAGGGGCATCCAAACATATCAAAATTGTAAAGAATCACTCTCCACTCAATTTTCAAAACTTCCCAAAACTTTGTAATACCTTTAATAGCACTTGCATCCCTGGGCCCCAAGCATTTGCCACCCCCTCTCCCTCTTCCCTCATTTGAATCCAGTCACCACAGACCTTTGGAGATCCCCAACTTTTATTAATTAAAGCTTCGTCCTCGGAAAGATTGGGAAGTTCCTGAAATGTACTTTTTTGTCGCTGGTTGCTGACTATATTAGAAAAGGACTGAAACTGTTTAAATTTGTATTAATTCATGTAGTGGTCTCGTGGGTTTAACTAACACCCCCCCCCCCCCACAGGCACGTAGCCAGAGTTTGATGTGTTTTTTTTTTTGGGGGGGGGGGTACATACATGTAATCGATCGAGATTTAAAAAAAAGGGGTCTAAAATTTCAACCGATCCTGGAATTTTTTATTTTTTTTGGGGGGGGGGGGGCGGGGGGCGCGTGCCCCCGTGCCCCCCCCCCCCCCCCCCCCCCTCCGTGGCTACGTGCCTGCACCTCGGCCGCGGTGAGATGTTGCTCTCCGACTGAAATTAACAGACCTTACCAAATACAAACTCCCAAAAACGTAGAACCGCCGCTGCCGAGGGGTCGGGGGCGTTAGATTAGTAACATAATATAGTCAAAGTCCGTATAAACTGGTATAAACTCCTTGAAGTAATATATGCTTGCTCATATAATAGCTATGAAACTCCCATTTTCTATCAAACTCATTTGCTATCAAATTGTATATACTCGTAACTAAGATTTCTAAATCTTGCCACACCATAGGGTTTGTATTATTGTCTGTACCCCCCGATCTCTCACTTCTTTTTGGGCATTGTCTACTTTTTGTATTGTGACCGTGTTCTCCTATCTTTCTCATGTAAATTATACTGTCTTGTCCCATTTTCGTCTCTGTTGGCATCCCATTTTCCCTATTTCTAGTTCCTATATGTAGTTACGAATTTGCTAATTTAATTACTCATTATATCTAACTATTATTTGAGGGGTCCACAAGAAAATTATCGTACATGCATTGCTTTAGTGGACCTGTTTCCAATATGTATTCCTTAATTTTTGTAAATGATTTGTTGGAAACATAAATAATATTGAAATTGAAATTGAATATATATATATAATTTGCATTTTATTATGGTTTGAAATCAAACAAATCATCAGTATTTACTTGTCATACAATCAATTAATCAGCCTCAATTTCTATTTTAAATATGAATATTCCTAACTTAAAAATAATTACAAAAATAATAATAATGACGAATCTACTATTTGCATCTTCATTTTGTTTTAGCAAGTTTGGAATATGAAATAAGTTGTGATCTATTTTTACTGTGTATTATTGTACTTGTCTATATCTAAGTTTTGTTGAAATGCTTTTTAAAACTGAGCTTGTAAAACTTGCAATGTAATTTAGCTCTCGGGCTACCATTTTGCAGTTGTTCTAATAAACCATTCTTCTACTACTATGTACAGCCGTTTATTTTATGTTTTGAGTTGGATTCATTTATATGTAGACATATAAATATCTATATAATTATATGAGTGTATGTATGTATGTATAATTTAGAAGGCAAAATAAGCAACCATATTTGAAATATTTATTTAATCATATTGAACCAAAATAAATTCCTAATCTTCTGACAGTACAGATGATAGGATGCGTTACAGTGCTTTGTTAGGGATTATATAGGTCGTGGTGTGCTCAGCATATAAGACCAAATTACATTTGATAGAAATATGACTTTTCTAATTCAAATGTTAGCATTTTGTTGCAACGTTCAAGATTGATTTCATTCCTACGTTGCTGTTGGTTGCTGTAAAATCAAATTAATCTGTAGGCCTACGTGCAACCAAAACAAAAAGAGAACCGATTGTAATGATTGTGGATTAATGTTTTGAAACCATGCAAGTAATGCTATGCGGTTGCAATAAGGTTAGCAAAGAGGAACAATTTCCGAATAGTAGTTTGTGTTTGTACGTTTATGGGTTCATGGCTGTATAATATATTCAATGAACTTCTAATGTCTTTCTGTAAAGAAATATTGAAAATGTAGTACCGAACAGGGGCGGATCCAGCCGGCGGCAAGGGAGGGGGCCCAATTCGTGAGAAAGTATTTAGCGGCGAAACAGCCGGCCGATAATTCGCATAGTGGGAGGGGGGGGGGGGGGGGGGGGGTAGTGAGCACTAATTTATTTTTTTATTTTGCTCCCGAAAATTTAAATTCGCGCCGGTCGATAATTCGCTCAGGCCCCCCCCCCCCCCCCCCCCCCCCCCCCCCCCCCCCCCCCTGGATCCACCACTGGTGTCCAACATTTTTTTCACAAAATGACTAAAATTTCTATTGTGCAAAATGTATGACTCCGGAGAGTCTTTGCATTTCAGAGTACCTAGATAATATGCTTTCCATAATACTCTCATAACCTTTCTTACAAAGCCTGCTTATTCACTCTTTCAATTCAATGGACTTGAATTTCTCTGTGCATTTACCTGTACAATTATACTATAATTACTTTTACCTCATTTATCTCAAATCTTTTTTTTTTGAAGAGCACCTAAAAAACTTGTAAAACAAAGGTGTTTTTAGTATCATTATAATCACGAAGTTTTTATCGTTATGCACATAATCAAGAAACTAAGGTTACCTATTTACGATTCTATTCCATATGGTGTTTTAATTATTATGATAATCAGAAAGGTTTGATTGCCGTGCACTAATCAAGAACCTAAGGTTACCTGCTTACAACTCTATTCCATATATGGTGTTTTAATTATTATGATAATCAGAAAGGTTTGATTGTTATGCACAAGAACCCAACGTAACCTGTTTACTATTCTACTATTCCAAACGGTGTTTTCATTGCAGCTTGTTTTATATGCTAAGGAGTATAATCAATCCATCGGAGTGAAAACATGATTGGAATAATAATAATTATTATATTTGCTTATATAGCGCCTAACACTTACTTTATCAGAAGTCTCTAAGCG